TCTGGCTCTAGGTGAGTGATCACACCATTGTGATTATCTGGGTCATGAAGATCTTTTTTGTACAGTTCTTCCGTGTATTCTTGCCACCTCTTCTTAATATCTTCTGCTTCTGTAAGGTCCATACCATTTCTGTCCTTTACTGAGCCCATTTTTGCATGAAATGTTCCCTTGGAATCTCTAATTTTCTTGAAGAGATCTCTTGTCTTTCCTTTTCTGTTATTTTCCCCTATTTCTTTGCATTGATCGCCGAGGAAGACTTTCTTATCTCTCCTTGCTATTCTTTGGAATTCTGTATGCAAATGGGTATACCTTTCCTTTTCTCCTTTGCTTTTTCCTTCTTTTCTTTTCACAGCTATTTGTAAGGCCTCCTCAGACAGCCATTTTGCTTTTTTGCATTCGTTTTTCTAGGGGATGGTCTTGATTCCTGTCTCCTATACAGTGTCATGAACCTCCGTCCATAGTTCTTCAGGCACTGTGTCTATCAGATCTAGTCCCTTAAGTCTTTTTCTCACTTCTACTGTATAATCATAAGGGATTTGATTTAGGTCATACCTGAATGGTGTAGTGGTTTTCTGCACTTTCTTCAATTTAAGTTTCTTTAGTTTTCTGTGATTGTGGTTTTCATTCTGTCTGCTCTCTGATGAATAAGGGTAAGAAGTTTATGGAAGCTTCCCAGGTTGGGAAATGTGTTGTGGGTCCTAGAACTTTCTTAACAGTGCAAGAATTTCTTTGGCATAATTGTTCTGCATTTTGTGGGTCATGTGCTCGGTGGTTCTGTGGTGGAGCTAATGGCGACTTCCTCCAAGAGGGCTTATTGCACATGCTGCGTTATTCCAAATCCTCCTCGGACGACCACTTGGCCTTTTTGCATTTTTTCCCTTGGGATGGTTTTGTTCGCTGCCTCCTGTACACTATTTCAGACCCTCTGTCCTTGGTTCTTCAGGTACTCTGTTTACTGGATCTAATCCTTTGAACGTGTTCATCACCTCTACTGTATATTCATAAGAGATTTGATTGAAGTCATTCCTGGCTGGTCTGATGGCTTTCCCTGCTTTCTTTAGTTTAAGCCTGAATTTTGCAATGAGGAGCTGATCATCAGAGCCACAGTCAGCTCCAGGTCTTCTTTTTGCTCACTGTGTGCTACTTCAGCTTCATGTTTGGCTACAAAGAATGTGATTAATCAATCTGATTCTGGTATTGACTATTTGATGATGTCCATGTGTAAAGTTGTCTCTTACGTTGTTGGAAAAGGGTGCTTGCTATGGCCAGTGCATTCTCTTGGTAGAATACTGTTAGCTTTTGCCCTGCTTCCTTTTATATTCCAAGGCCAAACTTGCCTGCTACTCCAGGTATATCTTGACTTTTGTATTCCAATCCCCATGATGAATCCCAGAGAAAAGCAATGCCAAAGAATGTTCAAACTACCACACAATTGCAGTCATCTCACACACTAGCAAAGTAATACTCAAAATTCTCCAAGCCCTGCTTTAACAGTATGTGAACCGTGAACTTCCAGATGTTCAAGCTGCATTTAGAAAAGGCAGAGGCACCAGAGATCAGATTGCCAACATCTGTTGGATCATCAAAAAAGCAAGAGAGTTCCAGAAAAACATCCACTTCTGCTTTATTGACT